GGGCGGGGTGTGTGTGGCCCTGGTGCAGGCTCCCGCGGGGGTTTGGCTCCACCACGGAATGGAGGGGGGTTGCCCCCAAGGCAGGCTCCCACGGGGGTTTGGCCCCACCGCGGGAGGCGGGGGTTAGCCCCTGGGCAGGCACGCTCGGGGTTTCCCTGCGCCGTGGGGGGCCTGGAGGAGGCATGTGCTGGCTCCACTCTGGGGGTGGGGGGGAAATCCTGGGAGGAGGCAGATGCAGGGGACTCTGCTGCCATTGGCACCCTGTCCCCTCTCCTCAGACCCCACTCCCCTGTCCCCAGCTACAGAATTCTGTCCCCACTCCCCTGTCTGCAGCTACAGAACTCTGTCCCCATTCCCGTCCCCACTCTCCAAATTCTGTCCCCACTCTTCTGTCCCCAGCTACAGAACTCTGTTCCCATTCCCGTCCCCATTCCCTGAACTCTGTCCCCACTCCCCTGTCTGCAGCTACAGAACTCTGTCCCCATTCCCTGAACTCTGTCCCCACTGGCACTCTGTTCCCTGCTGCAGAACCCTGTCCTCTGCCCTCTGTCCCCTGCTGCAGAACCCTGTCCTCTGCCCTCCTGGCACCCTGTTCCCTCTCCCCTGCCTCCAGCCGTAGAACTGTCCCCACAAAATGTAGAATTATAAATGCTTCATTTTAGATTTAAATAGCATGAATAAAAAACAGACCATTTATTTCATAACTATAAACAGGTGATTTTTAATTGTATATATATTGCATAATTTAAAAATAAACTGTTTATCAGAGTGTGTAAGTAAGGGCTGGGGATAGCAAGTGATGGACAGGAGGAGAATAGAGAGGGCGGGGCTTCAAGGAAGGGGCGGGGCGGTAGATCTTCGCCTGTTCTGAGATTTAAAAAGTGATCTTCAGTATAAAAAGGTTGGAGACCACTGCTCTAAGAGGTGGGGACTGTCCATGGGGCTCTCTGGGGACAAGGCTAGTAGTGAGGATACTATGGGGACAGGGAGCTGGCACTGGAGGAGTTTGGGGGGGTTGGGTGCAGTGGGGCTGTGGAAACAGGAGACTGGCACTGGGGGTTTGGTGGTGGAGGGTTTCAAGTGGTGGGGGGCTGGCACTGAGCTTGCCGTTAGGGGCTGGCACTGGGAGGATTCTAAGGGTGGGAGGCTGGCACTGCAGGGGTTGGGTGCAGGGGACTCTGGGGTTAGTGGCTGGCACTGAGGGATAGTGGAGGGGTGGGAGGGTATAGGGGTTAGTGTTGGCACTGGGGGAACTCCAAGGATTCGGGTGTGTCCCAGCCCTGACCCCCCAAGAGCTGCCATGAGCAGCTGGCTTCAGCTGAAGCTGGGGCTTTTGACCACATTTTATTTGCAATTTCCATGTTCATTATTTACATAATGAATATGCAGCTATGCAAATAAAATGTTACTGGTCTGCCAAAAGTTTGTGAATGGGTTTTCTGGTCTGCAGTATAAAAAAGGTTGGGAACTACTAGTCTATAGCAGACACCAAACACAACATCACCTCTGCTGCTCCCTCCTCTAAACTTAACCCATAGACTCTCAACAGGCTTTTCTCCACCTCTATACAGGAGCTCTGAGCAATCATAGGCCACGTTTACACTGCAGCGCTATTTCAGGATACCGAAATACCTATTCCACATCTTTTAAGTGCACCCGTTACTTAGAAATATAACAGGCTTGCTATTCTCACATCCCTGTAAACCTCATTCCACGAGGAGGAAGGGACGTTTCGGAATAGCGGGTTATTTTGAAATCAGTGCTGCTCTAAATTTCGAAAGAAGCAATTTTGAAATGGACTTGCAACAAGCTACACAATTTGTGTCGCTCAAACTGCCAACCTTATTTCGAGCTCGGGGTGCAGTGTAGACGCACCCTACCTATACAGCTCTCTTACATACAGGGCAACTCCTCCACCTGCCCTTCCCGAGGGTAGCTACACTGCATGACGCCCGGGTTGGGAAAGAGAAGGCACAGGAGGAGTGGCGGGGCAGCTCTGCTGCATAACGGGGATTAGGGGCAACAAAGGGTGATGACGCCGCAGGGGTGTCCATGTTCCCTAACGGCCACTACAAGCTGCGATATAGTCAGGGAGCCAAGTTGCCCAAACCCTTTACCTGCTACAAGTGCCCCTGTCTTTCTTTTTGTCTTTCCTCACTATCTTTGTTTTCCTGTTCTGTCTCTCCTAGAGCCGCTCCCTAGTAGCCACTGAAGTAAAGCCTTCCCACTTCCCCTCTCTTCCTATTATTGTCTTCCTCCTGTCCTTTAGGCAAATTAGGCTCCGTTATTCGTCTGTCCGCAGTGCCCTGTATTTGGTAGGAACCCCATGTAACACCCCTTTTCTCCCTCTTGTAAACGTGGCTGCCCCTTTAGGCAGCAACCCACCTCATTCTCTGCTTCCCCTCAGTCTCTTGTGTATTTTACAGGTGCCCCTGTCTTTATTTCTGTCTCTTCTCACTGTCTTTCTTTTCCTGTTCTGTTTCTCTTAAAGCCGCACCCTAGTGGTCACTATAGTAAAGCCTTCCGTCTTCCCCTCTCTTTCTATGCTCGTCCTCCTTCTGTCCTTTAGGCAAAATAGGCTCCGTAATTCGTCTTTCCACAGTGCCCTTTATTTGGTAGAAACGCCATGTAACACCTCTCTTCTCCCTCCTGTACACGTGGCTGCCCCTCAGGTAGCAACCCACCTCCTTCTCTGCTTTGTCTCAGGCCTTTCTTTCTTTTCCTGTTCTCTGTCTCCGCTTTAACCCTCTTTCACTCTGGCGCCCCTTTGGATGGAATTGTTGCCTTCTTTTCCCCCCCACCATGTACCCTCTGCCCCCGCCCGGCAGGGTTTTCCATCCCCTGTGACATCCCTTCCACCTTGCTTGGGACCCCTCTTACCTGCCCCCTTGCCACCCACCCACTTCCTTGGCTTGGCTCCTCCATTCCCTGCTCTCCCCTCATACCAAGCTAGGCTCCCTCATGATATCTCCCTACCTGGCCAAGCTCCCCATTATCTGCCTCCCTGCCTCACACTTGGGCTCCTCCATTTCCTGCCATACAGGCTCCTGCCTGGTGGGACCTCCCTGTTCCCTGTCTTCTCCCCATCACTCATACTTCTACCTGGCCACCACCTAGTTCCCTGCCCTTCCTCTGCCACACACCCTGTGCTCAGCTGAGCCTCCTTGTCCCCTGCCCAACTCCCCCCTCTACCCCCACTAATATTGGTTGGAAAGCGGTTGGCAAAATGTTAGAGAGGGGCTAGAAAAGCATACAATGGTTATGTTTTTAAAATGAATACTGGGACATTTAAAGAATATGGTATTTATTCATGAGTTATGTTTTCTCTCATTTGTAATGTGATTGGGCTTGATCCTGCAAACATTTACACACCTCACTGCTTTCTTAGTTGTCTCATGAGCAAAATAGGTTGCATCCATTGGGACATTTCCTGTGTATAAATGTAAGATACAGAGGGCCTCCTTGAGTAAGCATTGACAGGAACCATCATTTTCCTTTAATAAGCACTGTACCTGATACTTCACAGACAGTGTTAAAGTTACTTAGATCAGTTATACCAATGCAATTCCATTGAAGTTAAATGGAGTAGCACCTGACTTAGAACAGTATGTGACTAGGGTTGCCAGGTGTCTGGTATTGACCCGAACAGTCCGGTATTTTCGCTTCCTGTCCAGTAAAAACAATTCAGAAAATACCGGACACCTGAAATGTCCTAAAATGTCCGGTATTTTCTTTTTTTTTTTTTCTTGGCCAGGAGGCGAAAATATCAGACACCTGGCAACCCTACACATGCACAGCAACTGGGCCCTGCACTCCGAAACTCCCGCTCCTGACCCCCTGTTTACCTGGTTCTGTTCTGGCTCCATGAAGAAAACAAAATGGACACTGGCAAAAAGCCTAAAGAACTGAAGTCTTCCCTGGGTCTTAGCACTCAACTTCTCCCCTCTTGCTATCCCTATTCTGACTCTGCAGGCACTTGAAGCTGTTTTAATGCTGTTTTATTTTTTATTATTTTTTTGCTTAATAACTCCTTTTTTATTTTATGTTTGTCTCAACATCTTTGGTTCCCCCCCCTTTTTTCCCCTCCACAGAATTTTTTCCCCGGTGTTTTTTTTTGGGGGGGGGGGGGTTTGGTATTTTTGGGTAAACCATCTGGCAACCCTGTATGTGGCTGAAAGAAGGCCCAGACTTTGTCAGAGATTTTAATCATTAAAAAGCAGCTCCTCAGGCGTGCATATTCTTTTGCACAAAAGTTAATTTAAAGCACATGAATAGTCTCAATGAACTGAGTTGGACTGTTTGTGTTCATCAAGTTTTGTGTCTGCACAGGTATGTAAGTATGGGCCCGAAGTTATGTTTATTTTTGTTAGCTTTGTTTCTTTTCTTAATGTTTTAGTTCGATTTCTTTTTAATGTAATATGAATTTTTGATTAAATATAAATGTTGAAAGTGAATTAGTTCAATTGTTGGGGTAAAATGCTCAGCTGAATGCTTGCAAATAACATGAATTTTTGGAATATTTTCATCAGGATTGGCACTGCTGCACTGGCCATTCAGGTGGTTGGGAGTAACTGGCCTAAACCACATTACACCTTGCTGATTACTGGCCTCTGCAGATTTCAAATCTTGCAACTGCTGAAAGAAAAACCATATCCCATTGCTGAGGTTGAACAGTTGGACCGACTTGAACAATTTACCAACCAGACTAAGTCCGAGGAGGAATTGGGAGAGCTATCAGAACAGTTCTACAAATATGCAGTACAGGTTAGTTGCTTTAATTCTCTAGCACTGTTTTTATTTATATAGTCAGAATTTGTACTTTATTTTTGAGTACTTCATAGTCCTTAAACTCTCTTGCTACAAAACAAGTGTTTAGAAAGGTTCTTTGACACAGTTCAAAGATCCTCTATGCTAAGATCCTGATCTTATATTGAACTTCATGTGGGAACATCCTATGCTATGCAGTTTGTTGCAGGATTTGGAATTAAATTATTTACCAGGAAGTAGCATTGCCTTTGTTATCTTATCAAAGACTGTCTTGAACATTAAGTGGGCTTATCCCTAGATAGATAGGCTAGATAACATAAGTGTAGCCATACTTCATCATACCTGACTAAAAGGCACTTAGAAAATCACTGGCACTCATTTAGCTTGAGTTAAGTGCTCAGGCTTCCCATTAGAGATGTAAAGGGATAAGCAATTCATTGGTTATCCAGTAAGCATTGCCTTACTAGCATGCTTACTGGGCTTAACTGGGGCCTGGCTCTGTCAGAGCAGCTCTCCCCCCACCATGCTCAGACCAGTTAACTGGTTTCACATATAGTTGAACCAGTTAGGATTTTAAATGGGATTTTATATCCCTACTTCCTATACAGTTAATGGAGGGAGACAGATGCCTTAAAATAGGAGAACCAGTACAGCTACAACAACACTGCATACCTACAATAAATAGGATTAACAGCATGATAGGTGTCTCCTTGGGCTGAGCTAGCTGATGGGAGAAGCCAAATAGAAGGGTATTTCCTAAACCCAGTCCCTATGAGAGGTCAGTGCCTAAATCCAAGCTGCAGGGAGGCACTTCCCTTTGTTTGAGATTCTTAGTTATAACCCCTCTCTTTATGTGAGAGAGCCCTATTCCAATCTCTGTCCAGCTGTGTGGGGAAAAGAGACATGAACAGGGGTCTGTCATCTAGGATTGCTCTAGCCCAGTGGTTCCCAACCACTGATCCATGGACCGGCAGTGGGCCGTGGCACATTGCTGGGCCATGCCCCCAGCTTTTATTTAGCCCTGCCCACTGGGGTTCCCAGGCAATTTTCTTCTCACTCAGTTTCCCACGCAGCAGCAGGATGAGTGGGGGCGGCTGGCAGCCGGGTGTGCTGTGGCTGCAGCCAGGACCGCGGTGAGCCTTTCCTTATTGGGGCAGCCTCACCATGGCCCCAGTTCCAGCTCCGGCTGACTCAAGGTCCAATTTCCCTGTTCTAATGACTCTTAAAGTATTTATGTACAATGGAGTGGCTTCAATAGGAAAGACTAAAAGAGCCCTACATAACAATATCTATAGCTCAGTGAGAGAGTGCTTATCTGAGATTGGTAGATCCCTGATTCCCCTCAAGTGGAGATGGACTTGAACTAGGGATCTTCCATGACCCAGGTGAGTACCATAACCACTGGCCCAAAAGTTATGAAGGTGGCTTCCTCCTTCCCTCACAAGCTCTTTTGTGTTTCCTCCACTTTGTTATCCAATCCAGAAACAAGGTTATTAGAATGGGTCCCACAGGCAATTGAGGTAGAGGAATGCTATCTTCCCCAGATTCATGTATTGTTTTGGGGCTTAGATGTTTGGTTACCTGGAGAGAGCTGCAGAGCACATATACACAGGCAAAAACATAGACACAGAGAGAACATTTACTGCAAAAATGTAGGTGATTCTGGGAATGAAAATAAGTTATTTGGTGAATCTAGCCTTTGGATCAGCCATGGCTAGGGAGAACTTGGACACTGGGGAAAAAAAAAAAGATGTTGGTAGATTAGTGTTGGGAGGCACTAGGTTGCTGGGGTGCCGTCTTTGAAATGGAATATGATACATGGGTGCTCATAGCTGGTGATAGTAAAGCATGGTTCTTTCCTGAAAAGCAACGAAAGATGGCATTGTGGGATTCCATAGACATTGTCTGTTTCCCAAGCCCCACTCCTTCCCACCCCGGCTCCACCCTCTCCCTCTACTATGGCACCCCATCCCCTGAGGACATGGAAAACAGAAATTATTGGAAAGTATTGTTTTTAAAAGAAGGATGTGGTTCTTGGATAAGTGACTAAAACAAGCATATTATCAGAAAGAAAAGAGCAGAATTAAACATGTAGTCCGTTTCATGCCAAAAATTATACAGTAGCACTATACATGGCACACTTCACTTGCTTCTTTGCTTATCCCTTTCCTCTATTTAATTTTTGACTGAATTGAGACTAAACTGAGGCAGAGACCATGTCGTTTTTGTGTTCTGTGTATCCTACTACACTTCCAAACACTGGATTAAATTATAAGTCTTTGATAGTAAAGCTGTAGAATCAACTTCTGTTTTCATGCAAACCTGTTGGCAGCATATGCATAATGTCTTTCAAAAGGTGTGGTGGTGGTGATGCTAGTCATCTTGATTTCAAGGACAACATTGACAATCCTATTTTGTACTAATGGGTCTCTGTAGATCAGTTTGAGAAGAATAGCATGGCCACAGACTCATTTGCCTAGTTGTGGTGATTTAGTTGCATACTGTTTTTGAGTCTGTCTTTTCAACAGTCCTCTGAGCAGCTGAAAATACAAAGTCATGGACTTGCATCCTTATTGCATGGTGGTATGGAATATGATCAATTGCTAGTTGCTCAAAGGTCGAGTCAGAAATTTTTTTTACTCAGATTTTATTTCAGGATGTTTTTGAAACATTTCATCTGCTCTTCATGCTTGTTATTCCCGCAGCTTAATTTGGTATTCAAGAATACATTGTGGCCAGTCTGTCTGTTGGGTACAGATAAAATGAGCCACGATGCTGACCAAACCAGATTTCTCTACAGATACTACGTTTTCTAGATATCAGGGAAGGAATTGTAAGTGTTCTCATCACATTTTATAAGATCAAAAGGATCTGGTACAATGTAAACAGGAGAGTTTTTATTCTTCCTTCCTAGTACTGGAAAAAGGAGGCTGTGCAAAGCACTAAGAACTAGAATAATATTTAGGGCTGTCTCAAACAAGCAAAGAAACTGAAGTTTGGCAGTCCAAGTAGATGGGCTTACTGCCTTTTAGGTTGATGGTTTTTTTTTTTTTTGCTGGTTGTAAAAAGTGCAAATAGAAATCTTTTCCTTTCAAATTATTCAATTATTTCTCAGTTGGTGGATATTCATCTTAATAAAATATGGACAATTCTTTTTTTCCCTATAAAAAATGAACACCAAGATTGTTCACTTTCTCGTTTCCTCCTTACAGCTGGTTGAAATGTTGGATATGTCTGTCCCTGCAGTTGCTAAGCTGAGACGTCTTTTAGACAATCTACCTAGAGAAGCTTTACCAGATGTTCTGACTTCGATCATCCGCACAACCAACCAAGAAAAGCTTCAGGTGCTTTAAACTTCTAGGGGAGCTAAGGGTTTAGTATTTACAGTTCAATCTGCTATTAAATCATTTCAGAATTAGTCATCTCAGGACATTATTAAGTATTAGTACTGTGACTGTACTTTAAACAATATTTCCACATTCAAAACTATTGAGCTGTCATTTTTGTATAACTGAAATTTGACTAATAGTTTACCTTAAGAGATCCACTGAATATTGGATTCTGAGTTTTTCTCTGTTCTAACTAAATAAACTAACTAAATTGCTTAAACTTATTGCTTATTTAGCTGTAGAGTTGGAACACTGAGTACAAAGGTTGCTGTTGTACCATTGTTTGTGTAATGGACCAAAATGCATTAACCCCAGTTACTTTTGTAGATATTTGTTCAAGATTAGATTGCTTGAAGCATTGACTGTGGTCTCTTAAAAATGGGCATAAATCAAACTGCTGTAATTTCTTTGATGTACAATTACACTGTGAAAATGGCATAAAGATTTCATAATTAATAGTCTTAGTGATTTTTTTATCCAATTTGCTCTGTTCATAAGTAAAAAGTACTTGCTTTGTAACTGCCAATGAGGTAAACTAAATCTTGGATTTAAAATAACCCATCTGAACATTCTGCTTCATCCTTGCATGTAAATATTGTGCCATCAGAATTTAACTGAAAGTTCTCTTGATGCATTGGACCCCAGTTTGCTTGTCTGTAGCTGTTTTGACTTGCAAGTGCTAACAGTAATAATTTATTTCTATGGATACAGCAAGAGGTAGAAAGAGAGAGAACACAGTATATTCAGTATGTAAATGGCATATAAAAGAATTACCACAGTAAGCTGCAAAACACCAGTGAAAATGGATTTGCATGTGTTCTCTTTACTGAAGAGTTGAGTATCAAGGTTTTGCTTGGGCTGCCATAGGCAGGCAAGTGCATGTCTTGTGACAGTCATATGATGAAACAATACCATGTTGGCCAAAGCCCTAGAATTTTAGCTGGGTTACTGATTGAGCTGTTCCTCCTGTTGTGTGAGACAGGGCCAGACTTTCTCTGTTCTCATGGCAGGGCAAATAGGAGCCTTGTTACTGGTCTGAAGTGAAAATGCAGAGTGCAGCTGGTCCTTGTGTACAAGAGCATTTTTAATCCTTTTAATACCTGCAGGTCCCATCTTGGGGTATCAACAAGCCATATTTTTTCATTGCCTAGTAAGAGATGGGCTGCCTAAATATTCACATGATCAGTGGGAACAGATTTGGATTTCAAAATGAAAGTAAAGTAATAGATGCAATGGGAAAATAAACTAGAGAAGGTGAGATTTGTGAGATGGCTTACGGAAGAAGAGATCATTTCTCAGAGGGCTTGGTCCTGCCCGCAGGTTTAATAATTGAGAAATGACTTCTGATACAGGTTTGCTGCAGGGTCTCATTAAAAGAGAGGTGAAGGATAAGAGCGGCTTTATTTTTTCTTCCAGTTCCTTAATCATGCTGGAGTAATTAATAAGTCTTGAAGAATGATAGTGCCCTTTTAACCTTAAAGTGTTAAAAAACTCGGTAACGTAGAATTGTGCCCTAGAAATTTCTCCACTTTTACTCTTGGAATTTCCTCAAAGTAGGTACCAGCTAGCAAAAGAAAATAAGGCATTTAATACACAGCAATTTCAACCAGAAGTACTGCTGTTGTCCCTGTTTCTTTTGAAGATTTCTTCTACTCTCATTGTTTGTGTCTACATAGCGGCTGAGAGGATGATTCCTATCTTGGAAAAGACAGATGTGCATATCTCTACTCAAGTTAATGTGCTAAAAACAGTGAAGTAACCTCCGTAGCCTAGGGGTAGTTTATGCTAGTCACTCAAGTACATATCTGGTGGTTTGGGAATGATTGATTTTGAATGAGTGACTCAGGATGCCACCTGTGCTGCCCCTGCCACACTGCTATTTTTTGCATATTAGCTTGAGCAAAGCTGTGCATGTTTGTCTGTCAGTGCTGGGAAGCATTTTCCCAGGTGCTGTATAAACATACACATTAAGTTTTGTCTACTTTTTCTGTTGATATTGTGTGCTTCCAGCTGCCTTTGTACAAGCTTAGAACAAACAGAAAGCTCAGATTAAACTCTGGAGTCATTTCACACACCTGAGATAGGGGTCTTTTATTTTATTTTATTCTGCTGTTACAAATAACTCAGCTTTCATATTTGCAAACTGTCTACTATAGAACTCTGATAACAATGCATCACTAACCAAGAGAACATCTGTGTGCTCTTGTTACTTATAGACTAACCTCTTAGCAGCAGAGAAATACTACTGACTGTTTTCACTCTTATTTTCTGCTGTTAGATTTTAGATGCTGTTAGCCTGGAGGAGCGATTTAAGATGACTATACCACTGCTTGTTAGGCAGATTGAAGGCCTGAAGCTTCTTCAAAAAACCAGAAAACACAAACAGGATGATGATAAAAGGGTACTGACTTTTAAACATGTGATTCTCAAATTCACTTCATGGTTTGGTAGAGAGGAATGCTTTAATTAAATATGGGGTCAAAATGGCATGTAAAATTGAACCCACAATCATGAACATTTATTTCTGTTATCGTAATTTTTCATATCCAAACAGAAGCTGTGTAAAATATCTAGATCCTATATATTCTACGCAAGATGGCTATTTATTTTGAGTATTAGAAAACTATATAAAAGAATCTAGTCAAAGGCTTTAAGCACATATGATGTCCTTTAAAAAAATTGGTTTAAACAGAATCATTTCTTGACTGATTTGCATGTGCAAATTTTGTTTAGACTCTCTAAAACAGTTGATAGTTTTAAAGCTCATGTTGAAGTCTCTTTGCTCACAGTGAAGGTTAGTTTTATCCAGATATTATTTATCCAGGATTTTTTTTAAAGTAAAATTAATAATACCTTCACATTTCTTTCTTGTCGTCTTATATCCAGTAGACAGGGCTGGGTAATTAGTGTATTTTTGCAATCGAACACTCTTAAGAAAAATTGTTCCTTTACTTTAATAATCACAAGACTATATTTAGAACAGGTTAATAAGTCAAAGATTTTAAAACTAGGAGTGACCATTATGATTGTCTAGTCTGACCTTCTGCACAGCAAGAGCTAAGGAACCTCCCTTGATAAATTATGTATCTAGCTCTTAACTTCTAAAAAACATTTGTCATTCCGTGCTTCTGTTTTCTGCTTCTTAGGTTGTAGCTATTCGTCCTACTCGGCGGATCAATCACATTCCAGGCACTGCAGAAGATGAAGAGGAGGATGAAGATCATGATGACATTGTCATGTTAGAAAAGAAAATTAAAACATCCAGTATGCCAGAGCAAGCTCTTAAAGTTTGCGTAAAAGAAATGAAAAGGTAGGTGATAAAATCTGACATAGTGATGTTTTCAAAAGTTCACTAATTTACTTTAACTTTCCAATTGACCAGTCTTGCCATAGTCTTTCTCTGATGTTATGTTTTTGTAGAAGTTTTATTGTGTTGGGAATGGGAAAAAACTACATTTCAAGCTGAACAGCGTTGTTTTTCCTAGCTTTCCAATCATTTTCATAGTTAACCCCCACCACAAGGCTTATAAATAAGAAGAAACTTGAAGAAACTTGAAGAAAGCTGGACTTTATTATTAAGTCTTGCTGCTGAAAATAATTTGAGATTCTCTTATATAAAGAGCCAAAACTTTAATTTTCTTTATTAAAAAAAAATCTAAAAGTTTAATCATGCATTCATGAGTTAATAGCAACAATAATTACAGAAAAATCTGTTAATAGAATATTCAGGTTGCAAGTCAAGCACTCAGAAGTTAGGAAATGCCAGAATAAAGATTGCGTGTACAATTAGTTTTCACAAAATCCCTATGAAATGAGGGAGTGATATTATTTCATATTTGGGTAGCTGACACTCAGAAACATTAAGGTCAGAAGTAGCCACTAATTTTGGGACACTAGGACCTGACTTAGCATTGTTAGCATTATACAGCTTCAATTGCAGTTGTGAGTGCTCTTGAGACTCCAGGGTGTTAAGTTGGACACCCAGAAAATGATGAAAACATAATTTGGGACCACCTCTGAAGAGTTTGGTTGACATGAAACCAGAGTCTTATAATTATAAATATTTTGGCAGATTTCATAATAGTTGATGCCACAAGCCTGGTCTGTAATACTCATATATAATACTTTTCATCAGGAAATCTCACTATTTTACAATGGAGGCAAGTAGCATTATTCTCCTTTTTACGGTGGAGAAAGTGAGACATGAAGATGTGAAATGCATTTCTTGGGGGCATTCTATTTGCTAATTGAGGTGGAGTTTGTCAAATAGCAGAAAGAAAGAAGGAAAGAGAAAGAAAGAACAAGTCAAAGTAATAAATTTTGATAGTTTTGAAACAATATTTTGTTTAGAAATTTAGCTTTATTTTTAAAACCAAAAAAGCATTTTAAAAAACAAAAGTAAACAATTCTTAAAATTTAGTTTCTGCAAGCATGTATAAAATATTTCAGTTTTCGTGTAAATTTAACTAAAACTTTGTTCAGGTTTTTCCCGTTCAGACCCAAATCAGGAAAAAAAAATAGCTTAGTTCTGCTCACAAACTTAAAATTCATTAATAGTACTCTGCTTCATTGTGAGTCTTAAGATTTTCAGTGTAGTAAATAGAATGCTGTAGACATTCATGTACCACATACAGGTTTTGTGGCAGGAGAAAGACACTCAGCTCAAACTTATAATCTCCTTGATACAAATATTCATTACATACATGTATTTTCAGATTAAAGAAAATGCCTCAATCAATGCCAGAATATGCCTTGACCAGAAATTATTTGGAATTAATGGTGGAACTTCCATGGAACAAAAGCACAAAAGGTAAATGCTTGTTAGACCTCTATGTCTGTCATAGAGAAAGTTCAGGAGAAGTATCTGATATTTAAATATTGTCAGACCTAATTTTGTCTTTTAAATTCTTGTTGCATGGTCTGATAGCAGAAATGCCCTTACTGTGCTAATTTGATTTTTAAAATAAATTATTCTAAACCCCATAAAACAAATCGAGTGGCCTTTGAAATATAAATATAACTCATTTTACATCAGAAAAATGGTGACTGGGGGAGGATCACTAGTGAAAGGATTTGATCTGATTGCTGCCTACATTTTCTTATTTTATTGATTTCATATATTTTTCCTTAGATTTTTCACATTGTAAAAAATTAAAGCAGATTTTTAAGTGATTATTGTTGATACTCTTAGAAATGTACAGCATATTTTGTTATGCCTGTTTAATGAGTTTACATTTGGCACTCATTCATTTCTCTTAAAAGCAACAACAACTTAATGAAGAATAAGTCACTGAAGCCAATAAGATTTTGTCTTTTGTGTCTTGTTTTTGCTTTAAGCACAGCCGAGTAAATAGGTCTATTATTTAAATCAGTGATTCTTAGTCAGGCATTGCATTCCCATAGGGCCATGAAGTGGTCTTGCAGAAAGTACCTCGACTTATCTAGACATTTGCTAAGATTTACAACAGGCTACCTAAAAAGCACTAGTGAAGTTGGTACAAACTAAAACGTCATACAATGACTTGTTTACACTGCTCTATCAGTATTTATATTCAGACTTATAATTACTATATATGGTAAAAATGAAAAAGTAAGTAATTTTTCAGTAATAGGGTGCTGTAACTCTTGTATTTTTATGTCTGATTTTGTAATGAAATCTCTTTCTATATATAAAAAAGTTTTTTCCTGCCGCACGACAGAATGACATCATCAGGCTCTCTGGCCGCAAAAGTGGCCAGAGAGATGGGTTGGCGAGTATGGTAAGCAGGAGGTTTTTGCGACCAGAGAGCAGGGGGTTGACGAGAATAGCAGGTAGGGAGCAGCACACTAGTAGTTTTTAAATGAGGTGATATCTGGTGGTACAGAAAACAAATCAGGCTCCTGAAAATGATAGTCGTCTCGAGTACAGGCAGTCCCTGGGTTACGTCAATCCGACTTACGTCGGATCCCTACTTACGAACGGGGTGAGACAACCCTGCACTATCTGCGCCCCCCCCTCCCCCCAGCAGACTGCCGAGACGCGCCGCGGTCCTGCCGTCCGTGTCCTTCGTGGTGAGAAAAGCCGCTCCGCGTCTCCCTGGTCTGCTGGGGGGGACGCTAGCTCCGCATCTCCCTGGGCTGCTG